AGCATAGGTGGCCCTTTATGCCCCCCTTCCTGCTGAAGCCCCCAAGCAGCCTCCTCTTCTGCCTAACCCTGACCGAGTCTCGGATTGTCGTTGAGCCGGTAATGGATCCTTATACTAGGTGACACGTCTCTGTTTCCCTTCAGTTATCTGCACTCTTGTGACCCCCCGATTATCCATGGGAACCTCACCTGTGACACCATCTTCATCCAGCACAACGGACTCATCAAAATTGGATCTGGTAAGGGCCCGGGCTCCCAGCGTTCTCTTAAGTCTGTTCTCACGCACTGCGCCCGCATCCCCCATTTTATTGTGTTTTATCCCGCGCCCCCTCCCCATGTGTTTTATGTCCTGACTCCTCCCAGGAAATGCGCAGTAGATGGGCTGTAGTGTGTAGGGGACGCATTGCTCAGGTGCAGTACGGGCCAGTGATCACAGGCACGATGTGACACTATAAAATGCCCCCCCTCCTCTCTTTAGGTTGTCATGAAGGATTCCAGGTTAGGATAGTTTGGATGTTTGCTGTTCATGTTCTGGATTGTATACGTGTGTCTGTGGGGTGATTGTTGTATGATTGATGGGTGGTATGGTTGGGTGTCATGGGATGGGAAGGTAGTATGGTGGCATGTCATAGTATGATAGTGCAGTGTGCCATGGTGTCGCAGGATGGGAGGGTAGTGTGGCTGTATGTAAGGGGTACGGCATGGCCGTGTTGTTGGGTGGGGTGATGGCCGTGTGTTGGGTGGGGTGATGGCCGTGTGTTGGGTGGGGTGATGGCCGTGTGTTGGGGGGGGTGATGGCCGTGTGTTGGGTGGGGTGATGGCCGTGTGTTGGGGGGGGTGATGGCCGTGTGTTGGCGATTGTTTTAGGAGGACATTGGTGTGCGCGGTGTGTGTTTGGTGGGGTAATGGCCGTGTGTTGGCGATTGTTTGAGGACGTTGGTGTGCGCGGCGTGTGGCGTGTGATGATGGTGAGTATTGGCGATGTTTGAGGAGGACGTTGGTGTGCGCGGCGTGTGTTGGGTGGGATGATGGCCGTGTGTTGGGTGGGATGATGGGGAGTGTTGGTGTGCGCGGCGTGTGTTGGGTGGGATGATGGGGAACGTTTTATTTCCTGCTTCGGCTGCTCTGTACCACACCAGTCTTTCATAGGATTTTTGCTAATGGTGAGATGAATTTTCAGCCTCTGTGTTCCTGTCGTTGCCATGTTTCTGTGTTCAGCCTGCGGCACTCACCCATGTAAAGCGCGCCGTCTCCTCCCAGGAGGATCATGGGACGTGGCCGGCCTTTGTTACATGAGTGACTGCCGCTCGGAGGTCGGTGGGTGT